AACCTAAGAGCGATGGCCTCCAACCTAAGAGCGATGGCCTCCAACCTGAGAGCGATGGCCTCCAACCTAATAGCGATGGCCTCCAACCTAATAGCTATGGCCTTCAACCTGAGAGAGATGGCCTCCAACCTAATAGCCATGGCCTCCAACCTAAGAGCGATGTCCTCCAACCTGAGAGCGATGGCCTCCAACCTGAGAGCGATGGCCTCCAACCTATAAATAGCGATGGCCTCCAACCTAAGAGCGATGGCCTCCAACCCAAGAGCGATGGCCTCTAACCTAAGAGCGATGGCCTCCAACCTAGCGACGGCCTCCAACCTAAGAGCGATGGCCTCCATGCCAAGAGCAATGGCCTCCAACCTAGTAGGGATGGCCTCCAACCTAAGAGCGATGGCCTCCAACCTAATAAGCGATGGCCTCCAACCTAAGAGCGATGGCCTCTGACCTAGTAGTGATGCCTGCCTCCAACCTAAGAGCGATGGCCTCCAACCCAAGAGCGATGGCCTCCAACCTAAGAGCGATGGCCTCCAACCTGAGAGGGATGGCTTTCAGTCAACCTGAGAGTGATGGCCTCCAACCTGAGAGCGATGGCCTTCAACCTAATAGCGATAAGAGCGATGGCCTCAACCTAAGAGCGATGGCCTCCAACCTAATCGATGGCCTCCAACCTAGGAGCGATGGCCTCCAACCTGAGAGTGACGGCCTGCAACCTAGTAGTGATGGCCTGCAAAACGAAGAGCGATGGCCTTCAACCTGACAGAATGGCCTCCAACCTAAGAGCGATGGCCTCCAACCTGATAGGGATGGCCTCCAACGTGAGAGCGATGGCCTCCATCCTAATAGGAATGGCCTCCAACCTAAGAGCGATGGCCTCCAACCTAATAGTGATGGCCTCCAACCTAAGAGCGATGGCCTCCAACCCAAGAGCGATGGCCTCCAACCTAAGAGCGAAGGCCTCCAACCTAAGAGCGATGGCCTCCAACCTGAGAGCGATGGCCTCCAACCTAGTAGTGATGGCCTCCAACCTGAGAGCGATGGCCTCCAACCTAATAGCGATGGCCTCCCACCTGAGAGCGATGGCCTCCAACCTAAGAGCGATGGCCTCCAACCTAAGAGCGATGACCTCCATGCCAAGAGCGATGGCCTCCAACCTAAGAGCGATTGCCTCCAACCTAAGAGCGATGGCCTCCAACCTAAGAGCGATAGCCTTCAACCTAAGAGCGATGGCCTCCAACCTAAGAGCGATGGCCTTCAACGTAAGAGTGATGGCCTCCAACCTAAGAGCGATGGCCTCCAACCTAAGAGCGATGGCCTCCAACCTAAGAGCGATGGCCTCCAACGTAAGAGTGATGGCCTCCAACCTAAGAGCGATGGCCTCCAACCTAAGAGCGATGGCCTCCAACGTAAGAGTTATTTGCTTTTTACACCATTCAGTCTTTTGTGCTACTTGCTCATCTCTCTGCAAGGGCAAGGGAGATGGTTCAACCGTTCCACATGCCATGACTGACTCCAAAGTAGTATTCCTCACAGGCAGCGCATGGAATTGTGGAAGAATACTATGGCAGAAAGCTGCGACTTGACTCCTGCAGCCCCAGGCCAATCTCCTATCCGCTGAACCGACCTATAGCGGCGGTTCACAACAAGGTGGGACAGTTTTGCATTTTGTGCACATGTTCATAAACCAGTGAAACCAGCAGCAAGATGTATGTTTAAGCCCGCATCAAGCTATATGTGAGGGCATCCTCAAGGTTCAGGTGTTGATGATGCAATTTCAGTCTTGGGCCATGAGATGAGTACACACCTTGTCGCCACCTGTTGAGACTCAGACCCAACACACAGAGTTGAAGGCTTTCTGCATTGCTTAAGGGAGAATTGTGTTCAGACCGCACCACGAGGCAGCTTCCCTTCAAATTTGATGCAACAAACATCAACAAACAAGTATTTATCACCCCATCCAATAAGCAGAATAAGAATGCTACTAGTAACAAGTGCGTCGGTACTAGGAACAAGTGCCTTACTAGCAGGAACAAGGACGCTACTAGTAACAAGTGAATCTTCAACGACGTGATGTGCTTGTGCTCCGCCAGACGGGGATGGGCCGAATTTGTGTCATCGGCTCGGTGCAGATGTTCGGAGACCGGAGCTCAGATGTTAGCGGGATGCGAGATGACAAGAGACCCGATCTCAGATGTGACAAAACAGTGTTTGTAGTTTGTACTATTTGTACGATTGTGCACCTGTTCTTTTGGGCAACGTGTTGTGAATTGTTGTGAGCTTGTTGAGGCACAATTTCAAGAACATCAGCAGGTGATTCTTGCATGAGCATGGTGTGAGATTGATGGCAAACTAGTGGAGCCCCTGACAAGCGTTCTTTATAGTATGTGAAGAAATGATGAGATTCAGCAAGGGCAATCAAACGTATATAAATTATCTAAATGCAAGAGCTTTGTGAGGTGTGTTTCTGAAAATGCCGACGCGTACATGGTGTTGTGGTGTGACGATGAACTTGACCAATCTTATATAACCAATCCTAGAGGTACAGTAGTTGTTTATATAGATGTGTTTGGAGCTTTTTTGGTTCGGCATGTTTCAGGGATAGTTACTGTACTTGGAAAAGGATTTGAAGCCGTTTGTCCTTTGTCCCGAGAACTTGTCGAATCCTCACCCTAGTGAGATCAAGCTCCAGGTGAGTATTATATACTAAGTTATCTCTAAAGTTTTCCAATGTAAACAAAACTGTTGATAGTTTTGATGAACCTTCATGCCCAACTTTGACGAGCCTACCTGTGAAGACGTTGGGCCCATGCTGAGCATGCTGTGAGGATGACTTCCTGGACTGTGAAAAGAACAGACAAGTCATCGACACCTTAGTCAGGTGGCCTGCGCCTGAGGTTTCCATATTTGCCTTGATCCAGCCTTTTTAGGGTCATAATAAGCTTTGAAAAGAACGATTATTAGAGCCTCACAACATTGACCTGCCAAACAGTATGTATTTCAATTGCAAGATGTCCATGTGTGTCATGTGTTTGACTTCAGTCTCAAAATGGCGGATAAAGCAGGTCAATGCGCATTCGTGGCAAATAGGTTTCGAAACTGACCAATTGTCAGCGCCCGCCAACGAGCCAAGGCTTTTGAGGTTGGGCGACTGCGAACTGAGCTATGGCTATGGCGAGGCGTCAAGCAGAATCAAGCACCAATTATCGCAAGAAGCCAATTGCGTTTCTCTTCTCAATGCTCAGACCGTACATCCGCAGATTGGGGTTCTTCCGCAAGCGGGCCTCCATCCCTCCACAACATTCCGAAGAATCCGTGCTTGGATATGTTTAGATTCTAAACGGAACAGAACATGCTCATCTCAGCTTGCTGTTCCGGCTCTTTTTAGTGTCCTGGGGTTGTAGCATACTCCTTTCTGTGTAAAACAGTGTCCGAACCAGCTTTGATACGAGCCAAATCCAACCCTTGGACGAACTGAACTGAAACCGCCTCGAATGATCACAACGGAAGTAGAGCCTATCTGGGACAACTTTGATGGTCAGACGCATGCCGACTATCTGACTAACTCCACGACCACATAGGCGCCCAGAAACTGGGGACCCTGGTCGGCGCAGGAGCCTGAGCTCAGCGAGTACCACCACATCCCTCACACGCAGGGTTTGGCCATGAATTTGAGAAGTTGCTTGCAGGAGCGCTGTTTGGTCCTTCACCCAAGGGCAAGAAGTTACTAGGGGCTCCTGGCCTTACTACTAGTAACGAGGGCATTACTACCACCAAAAAAACAAGCAGCGAAAACAAAAAACATGTGTGTTGTTGTTTCAAGTCTGTTCATCGTGATTCCACTGTGCTTCACAACTGTGTTGCCCCACTGGCTTGGCTGAGAGGAGGCATCCCTTAAGTGGCTTTTGTAGTTAATTACTTGTCGGAACAACCAAGAGTATTCCAATATATTCCAATTGTTATTTCCCGATGTATGCTGCCGGCTCACAAATGATACCCTCCCTGGCAGGAGAATGAGCCGCTGCCGAGAGATTTTACACAGCTCTTTGACGACAGCCTCTTTAAGTTTGCAGGGTCGCCCAGTTGAGAATGGCGGGGCTTCCGTGCGTTGCAAACAACTGGAATCAATGTGATATTTTGCAAAACATGTAGAGGGCCACAATGTCAATATACAACAAGACACTTGTGCTAAACTATCTGTAGCTGTAGCCAACATGGTCGATTTGCATAAGAAAGCTAAGTTGAATCATGGAGGTGACAACAAACGTCAGATGCTTCACTTTTGGTTAATCAACTGTGGTATCACGTGGGCTCAATCGAGACATCCACTAATGTAACGCTCCGATGAAGCCGGTGTTTCAGCGCAATTCTTTGATTTGCTGCTATTGAAGGATGAGCATTGGGTTGTGTAAAGCATGTATATAGAGCCTCCCCAGCCAGTGCAAGCTGAGGTGCAATTCTTAGGGGAGTGTCGGTCAACTGAGTGACTAGACACCACGTAAGTCCCAGACATTATAGTGCATACGCTCCAAAGTTTGAATCCAAAGAAATCCACAACCCCGCGCGACGGGATTTGATGCCCCAAAGCTCTCGCGTGTACCAGGATACAGATCTTATTCCAGAGGCACGCATGTCCGGCTTTCTGGAGTTGCAAGGAGAGATGCTCGAAGCATTGGCCTCCAACCTAGAAGCAATGGCCTCCAATACAAACGAATCCAGTGCAATGCCAGTTTCCATGGTTCGAAAGTCCAAGTCAGACCAAAGGCAAACGTGCTGATTTCATGCTCGCGATTCCGACATATACTTTGGTGCACTTGAGAGATCCTGAGAGTAAGACAGAACAAAAAGATACAAGGGAATGGAATAAGGTTTCCTTGTGGAGGTGTTCACACATGCATCCTGCAGCCACTCTCAAGATACCACCACAGAACCAAGCAGCTCCACATCAGAAGCAACTTGACAACAGAACTTGGGTGCCACATGGTTCAAAGGTGCAAATGAAGCATGTTGTTTCCTTTTCTTGTTTCAGCGTGTTTACATCGAAACATTTTTGGATCCATCAGAGCTCACCTCCGTGGGTCATCCCATCCAAGAACAGTGCTTGATTGTAACCCACAACACGTCCGTCGCCGTCCGTCGCCATGTCGATGTACAATCAGCCAAGTGTGAACTCGCCGTATGCAACTGAGCTGCAAGGTACATTTGCACAACCATTCATTGGTCCATGGAGGTCCATGAGCAAAAAACATGGGCAGTGTTGCCCGAGTACAAACCAGTTTGTGAGGGCCTCCTGAAAACATGCTTCCCGGCTGTTAGCGTGCGGTGGTACTCAAGTCATGATTGATGATATATATATATATAATTGTACAATATGGCACGCGTGATTCTTTCTTGGTTCCCTACGCTGGTGCTTTTGAGAGCTTTAGCACTCCACTCGCTACACTAGGCACTGAGGGCATGTGTGTTGATGGCATTTGATTGCAACTCTTCCGGAGTATACAGTATACTGTACCTGCCAAAAGTTTGCATCCATCCGTGCTGACACTCCAGTAATAGCCTGGGTGCCATAATGCTATAGGGTCAAGCTTTTGCAAGTTGAGATTCAACCATCCGGACGGACTCAGCTAGTAGAATCCGCAAGCTGATTCAGGGATTCATGTTGGGCTGTTACGCAGATTCTTATGTTTGTGCCTAAGGCACGACCATACATGTCGAATCACCTTTGCTTTCAGGAGTGCAGACACACCGCCGATCAGGGTTTAACTAAGCCAGCCGAAGAAGCTACAATTTGCTTTTCTCAACAAATCCAGACGGGTTGCGATTTGTTGGGTACAACATATGACGATATGAATATGACGATATGAGGTGACTGTGTAGCAGCGCTCTGTGAAAAGCAAGCATACGGTTATATAAATAAATATATGACATTGATGTTACGATGTTGGACTAGTTAGGATGGCCTCGTCTCGGATTATAAGTGTTTTCAAGACGTTAGAAGGACACAGATATACAATGAGTGACATCTCTGCTAGCTTCTTGTTTCTAATGGCAAACATTGTTATTACTAGTAAGGCACTTGTTACTAGAAGCGATGCACTTGTTCCTAGTAGCGATGCCCTTGTTACTACTAGTAAGGCACTTGTCGGTACATATCCTGCTCGCCCTGCAGGACCGGCTGCGGAAAGAGTTCTACGGCTCGGTGCCAAAGGAGCTCCTCCCCCAGGTCGATGCGCCTCTCAAGGAGGCTATGGGCGAGATATTGGATCCAATTTGGAGTTGAGTCGAACGACCATGATGACTAAATTGGGGATTCCCAAAGAATCACTTCTTGTTAAACAAACAGCACCCTCAAGCAAAAGTGTGCTTTCACAACCAACCCTGAGTGACTTTGATATGTTTGTTGGAGCCAAACAAGACGTTTCGAAAGGCTCTAATTCTGTCAAAGGTGGGGAACGTTGGATGTCTCCTTTCGTATTGAGGCTCGGGCCAAGAAGCGGCTTATATACTCTAGTTTAGAAGTAATTTCAATTTCTGAATGTTGAACATACTCGCTTGGTGTTGTTTGTTGTTTGTGCAAAAAAACTAGCATTAAATTAAATTGCCTTTGATGCATGCAAGCTCTGGATGGGTATTGGCCAAGTGGATCAAATTATGTGCCTGCCAGCAGGGACAGTTGGTGTTCATCACAACTTAAAGTAACTTCAGCGACTAAGACACTTGAGACTTGGATGTTGCTAAAAACGGGAGGGTTTGTTGGTCTATGTTTTGCTGTTCTTTTGTTTCTGGGTGTTTGATTTCTCTGGCAATGTCCCACCGATCCAGAGGCCTCGCGGAAGAGGTTCGGGCTCCCGCCCTCTGGTCGGGATTCCCGGGCTGGGCATAGCAGGGCGTTAGCAAAGCGGATAGCCATCCTTACTTTTGGGACTTATAAGTTGTCAGTCTGCTTGTAACCCAAGACAACCCAAGTTTTTCTTGGCTGAATTACTAGTTGAGAAGCGAGAATGATTTCCAGCCTTCATTGTCAGGCTCGGCACCGAATCTGATGCTAGCGCAGGAGAGGGCTGCATTTATATATATATATTATATATATATACATGTCAAAATGACAGGCACATCAACAGTGGAGACCACAGTGAAGGGTACGTTACATTGGTTGAATCTAGTTGAACTTTACCTGTGCACAGGTGTCACAAAGGTTTCTTGCAGAACCCACGTCAGGTCCTTGTCCGCAAAGTCGTTGGTCAAATCTATTCAAATCTCACTTGAAAAACGTTTTTGGAAGCAGGAGCGTTTTCCCAAGGGCGGCTTCAACCGGATGAACAACGACTCCTCTGGCTTCTCGAGGTGCAAGAAGTGTGGTCTCCTCACGACATGTGATTAACAATTCATCTACATTTGAATTGCAGCTTCGCTCGTGCAAGAGTGCCCTAATGCGAACAATCATGACAAGAATCGTTTACGTTAGGGAGGCTTCTTTAGACACATCATCCAGGAGCCTAGCTGGGTTAGTTTAGCAACTCTACCGATTCATTGCCCGCACCAGTTTCATGTCACACTCCACAGACTTTGGGATCATGATGTTCCTTCCTTTGTTTGCCTGTGTTCTTTGCCTGACCACTTTAATTAGTAACGAGGGGCAGGTTTGTGCACAAAACCCTGCAAAACGATAAGGTCCACCTCAAGACCGATATATAACCCCAGCGCTGTATATGATCATAAGTATGCAGTATGCAGCGAACTCAAAACACTGTAAAACGATAAGGTCCAATTCAAAACCGATGACGTCCATTTTTTAGTTGAAGAATATTAAAGAGTTTTGACCGTCCCTTAAAACTATAACCCTCAATATTGACTTAATATCCTTAATTGAACCAGCAAAGAGATCAAGTCAGGATGGCCTCGTGGTTCCTCAAAGCTTGGATGTCCTCTTGGTAAGCCACAGCTTCAACAAGATGCTTAAAGTAAATACTCCATAGTACTCGTACATCATATATACCAGCTTCGTTTCTCCCCCGATTTTGAGACCAACCGGGTTGGTCAAATCACAGGTTCCCTCACCACGCCTTATGTTCTTTTCAGGGCTCAGCATGTATAGCAATCATGTCGATACAAGTCTGCTGATGTTCAACAAACCAAGCACCGCAAGTGGACCAGCTTTGCTTCACTTCGCCACGCCGCGCTTGCGGCTCCAGCCAGGTCCTTTGGTTTCGGTGGCTGGAGCGGCTCCGGCGGTCTCAACAGCTTTCATCGGCAGTACTTCGGCCCGGCCAGGCGCCAAGTCGATCTCCCCGGTGCCAGGTCTCCTCGGTCTCGTGCACAAACAAAGGAAACAGCCTTTCTGGAAAGGGAAGAGTCTGGAAGGGGCGAGCTAGGTGTTTCACAGGGATGTACAGTAGAAGCTGGTGGGGCTGTTTGAATTGATGGTTGACAGCTGACTGCCTTGGGCACTGAGGTCAATCGACCAGAGGACGAGAGGTCCATGGACTTTCGCCATCCGCTCTTGTCCCAAAAGCTCGAGAGGACAGCAGATTGCTCTTTGCGTAACATATCTATGCCAACCGGCCATGATCAGAGGCGCTATATCATCCTTGTCTATGGGACACATATACCCCAGGCCAGGAGACGGCAAGCTTGAGCTATCTAGAGCTCCTCCTCCCAGTGCGACCCTGCCAACATACGACATGTTCAGCAAAGCCTTCTTTTCAAATCTTTTCAATACTCTTTGTCTCTTCGTAGAGATATTATATTGCCTTAAAAGAAGCCGAAGACATCATCTTCTGTTGACCCACGAGCAGGCAGTCGAAGGGGTTGTCAATGGGAAGATGGGTGATTGTGAACATGATGTGCACTAGACTACAAATAGATTTTGTTGGGTGGGTATGTCTTCAATATGGATACATACACTGAACTTTCCATGCACCAGCACGCCAAACCAGAATTAAGCCAACACATAGTGGGATTCGTGAGATCTGGATTTGGCTTCCTGTCTTGTGATACACCATTTCCATGGGTTCGGGCCTGTGCTCTCTCGGCTCTATGCAGGATGAGGGCCAGTTGCCTGCCACCGTGAGCGCTGCCTGCATCAAAGACACTCCTCGCTCACTGAGAGGGATGTGATTGTTTTCATCCATCGATGGGATGACGCATGTCATAGATGTAGTCCTGTGGGGCCGACGATGGTCACTTGACAAATGCTGAATCGTGCCGAGCTGAGCAGACAGTGAATCGCGCCCCTCAAAGCGCATGGGTGAGTTTTCACTTTTAAAGTTACTGCCGGCTGCCGGTCCGAGTTTGTTCCAGGCTTTTGTGTCGTGGAGTACGACTTGGCTTCCTCGTTCATGTCTCCCCCGAACTACACTCACAACTGCAGCCATGCTTTTGCTGGAACACGTTCATTCAAGAGAGATCTCTTCTTTACAGTGTATTCAATATCATTCAAACACTAAATGGGCAAAGCAATGATTGCACTTGGAAGGAGGGACCTTGCATTTGTGAGGAAAAACAGCCGAACCTCCTTGGTGGATTGATTCTCATTAGGGACAACATCAAATCACCACGTATTTGCAGAGGGTTGGGATGGGATGATTGCTGATTCTGTCCGAGACAAGTGACAGCGCAAATGTGTGTGGTGTTTGATGTTTCCTTGTTTGGTCCTTGTTCCTGAAATCGTTTTGACATGTTTGCTCAATGACCTCAACAGGTCGTAATCATACTTGAAGGTTCTTACCTGGTGGCTAGCGTACGTATACTTCCCCACTCTGCTTTGCAGGTGCTAGTTTGCTCGGGCCATTTGGGCACTCTCAGGGTTGAGCTGTGGGCTTCCTCTTTGTATTTTGTACCCCTTGCGCTGCCAAGCGGCTTTGAGTTGGTGCATCCACGCTATCGCAAGGCGGTCAAGCTGTACCACCAGTTGGGAGTCAAGCACGAGCCGCCACTTGGCCCAGACTTAAGATGAGTTAAGTCATGGCCTGTTGCAGGCATTCAAACATCAATTGGGGGTTGCCATGTGAGCGTGCATTTTTTTTCTCGGTCGTTTTTGAGTCATACTCATGATACGCAAAAGAAAGGACTCCGTCCTGTCACTGTCGTTGCCATTTGTTCTGGCCATGTTCGTCCATGCCCAGCTTCACCACTGAAACTCTCGTGCAGAGCGAGGCTCGCAATTTCAGCAGCATTTCAGGCAACTGCGCAATAATCAACCTTTATTGGATTGACAGGCCCTAGTCACCAATTGTTCAAGCAGGCAAATTGGATTTGCTTTTAGGAGCTCTACTATACTACCATGCACCTTTGATAGTCTCCTGACATCGATGGCTCCTGCACACTGAACTCCACAAGAGTTTATCCTCAGACCTCAGAATGAGCAGAAAGTAGGGTGGAAGGTCACCACCCCAGTCCGGTCCAGTCTACGCTGTGGACGCAACCTGACCCAGGCTGACCCTAATCCCTCCGCAGTTCGAGACTCCGATGCCAGCATTGCAGCCAGCGGTGGGGGCTCGGTGATCGGTGTAAGGTTGGGTTTGGATCCAACAGGAAGATCCGGAGCTGGGTTGCTGGGCCTTTCGTAGTGTAAGGGATTTCTTGATTTTGCTGCAAATGAAGGATTGCTATGTCGAGATATTTCGAGGCACAGGGTCCAGGAAAATGGGGGCCAGGCAAAGATCACAGCCTTTGAATGCATCACCCTGCAGTATCCATTGTTCCAAACTTGTGCTGTATTTGTCGATGTCTTACCGGTCTCGGTTCATTGCCTTGACTCAAAAGGTTTGTTGGGCCAACGTCCTGAAAGACTCATGACATGTCAACGTGGCCACAGGGATTCCTGCCAGGTCTTTCCCCCATGCCTCCGGGAACCGCTGGCACCCAATTTGGACCTCTTCGACTTAGCCACTTGGCCGAAACGGAGACGAGAGTGAGCGCAAAGATGTTGAAACTTCACAAACTTTACAGCTATGGGCTATTGGACTATAGGATTGATCTGCTGCGACAATAATTAATGCCCTTTGTGCAGAAAGATGTTTACAGTGGGGCACACACTTTCTTGGAAGGGCTGGGCCCTCGGATTGAACACAGGCGAGCATTGGGCGGGCCCATGCTATGATGTTCAAACCTTGAACTTGTCAGCATTGGGTTCAGGAAGGACAGCTCTTGAGACACAAAGTTCCAACAGTCTTGGGCCTTGGGCCCAACAGTTCTTGTGCTGCGCACCAGCTGCATGCCAAGCAACTGAGGATGAGCAGTTCGCCTCAGAGCGAGTGCGGCTAGCGCAGCTCACAAACAAGTCTGGGACCTTGGCACTTGCTGGGCGATGATTGTCCACCGATGTTCCTTTTAGTCCTCTCCATACGAGCGAAAACTACAGTAAGTATGACTGTTTTATTACAATATACATAATATTATATAGTATTTTTTTGTGATCTCGTTCAACGCAGGGATCTCGGTTTTGCAGTTGATGGAAATGGATACGCACTGTACTTGAGACTCTGTTTGACCATGTCTACTGTAATCATTACAATACTTTATTGCTTGGAACCTGGGTGACTCTATTTCTAGATGGAGAAAGCCAGTCGTGGGAAGTGTGAGATCAAACTAAACAAGATTAAAACTAAAACATTGGCTTCTTGCTCCTAGTCCTAGTAGCGATGCCAGGAGCCCCTAGTAGTGTCCTTGCTCCTAGTAGCGATGCCAGGAGCCCCTAGTAGCGTCCTTGCTCCTAGTAGCGATGCCAGGTTGGCCTTTGTCGATTTAGTTTCAATATGTGTTTGCATTGCAGAGCAAGTGCCTCATTAGGTGTACAGACGATGACCTGGACTTCTACATTCGCCAGGACAGTCAACATGGTCACAAGAAAAGTGAGGGTTCCGTTTGTCCCATGTTACCATGATCAGATTCTGAGACTGCTAAGAATTGCTTGCAGGACTGTCCTTGGTTTCAGGATCCCCACATTCCCATCTCAATCATTTTCGGTCGTGAGAGGCGGGCGAGATCCTGGGTGTCTCCCAGAAGCTGGGGGAGAAACGGTCCTCCAAGCGCATCTTGGAGCCTGGAAGCTCAGGTCGATGGACAGCGTTTTTCTCGGTTCTCGCCCCACTTAGTACCTCGTCCGACAAGCTCTTTTCACTTCCCAAGGAATATGACCACCGACCATCACGGACCCAAACCCATCCAAATTAATTATCCCTTGGATTGACAAGGGATAAAGCGGGTGAACCATGAATAGATCATGAGATGCACTACATTGTGCGGCAACGTATTATCAATATGCTCGACTTCCTGTTTGATTGATGCGTTGCTTTCTGGCAAACAGCACCATGAGACCTGTATCGACTCCAAATCGTAGGGAAACAGGTGCTCGGTCTGTTAAAGGGCTGCTAAAATACTAGAGACATGTTCCAATCAGAAAGGCAACAGCCCTTTAAGCCCTTTTGCAGGATTCTCATGGGTTCTCTTCTGGTCACTTTGCTTCACCCTCATCAACATGCAACATGTCTGGAGTCATGTCTGTGGACAAAAGTTTTATGTTGCTGCCGATGATTCCCCGAAATTGATTCGTTTCGGGAGGAAATAATTCGGTCCTTCGATGTTTTTCGTCCATGCCTTCGCTGGAAAGGGGCTCCTGAGGACCCCCTGTTGTGCGACAGCATTGGAGTGACAGTCCAGTCTGGACACTGGGAGGTACATCTTCAAGGAGCTCGTGGGCTTTAAGAAGATGAACCAGGATCTGGTCCCTTCGGTTGGTATCTCTGAATGAATGCGTAATAAGGTCTGAAATAGGGAAGCCTCCAAATTAAAGAAGGGAGCACCATCAAGATCCCAAACCATGGGGGCTGTTCCCTATTTTCAGATGTTTTCAGACCGAATTCAGCCCGGAGGCTCCATAGTCTCCAAGCCACGCGAAAGCATCGTGTGGCTCGGTCGTGCCGATGGAGCACCGTCCAGTGGTAGGATGGATATGCTTTGACAAGTGCTTTGATACTTTCTCTTCCAAAGTCATCGCCACAAAGGTGACAGTGTTTTACTTGCGTTCTACTGCCTGTAGCATACCCCATCTAAACAGAAAAGCTAGCTGTTGCCAGCTGCTAGCTTTCTGCCAGCATTAACACTGAAGCCAAGGAGAGTCTTAAAAACGTAGTTATGTCATGTTATGTCCAAAAGCGTGTTGTGCGCTATCTATAGCATAGGATTCCAGCCCATTGATTGGGAAAGCTGGCGTTGCTGATTCGGCTCGAGCGTTTGCGTAAAAAGCATCTTCCCTGCGAACGAAGAAGCGTTCAGGGGATCGGCCACGGGGCTGAACTTCAATTTGCACGTTTAACCACACCGTATTCCAGATTTGCTATGTGTTTTTGTTATGAAGCCATAGCCTTTTTTTCAGTTCAAGCATGTTCAAGCTATAAGAAGAGGTGACGGACGGTCGATTCGCCACTGTAGCTCGAAGTCCGGGCATTTGGACTCAGGTCCAGCCTGGGGTCTCCAGAATCACTTGGCCCAAAAAGACCCACAAGAAAGCAAGTAATTTCTACAATGTGGCCGAGTGGCCCAGTGGAGTATCGTGCCAGGGTCCTGCCAGTGGCCCAACAAATGGAATGAGCACCACACCAAGGACAAGAGCATTGACAAGCTACAATGGCAACAGCAATCACAAGCGCAAGAACAGCACCAATGATGCACCACAATGACAGCCTATCAACAACGAACACAATGACATCATCAATCAGGAATCCACACTGCCCCCTAGCGTTTGCGTGCAGTTACAGTTACAGTGATTTCAGGGATTCAGCGGGGCAGACATGGTGGATCATTTGGTCATTTCATGTCATTTCTAAAATATTGTCGAAAAGTCCTACTAAGACAAGTGTGATGTATCAACATGAAACGAGTCAAGACAGCCATCGCTACTAGGTTAGAGGCCATGGCTTCTAGGTTGGAGTCCATCGCTCTTAGGTTTGTGTTACTTAGTTACTTTTATTTTGTTTTTGTTTATACCAAGGCTCACAGAATCCACCCATGCAACTCGGGAGTCACAGCAGATGACAGGCCAAGTGGTGTGCAGAGTTGGAGTGTCTCACG